GGAGCCCAGCCTTGTTCCCTTTGCATTTCAGACCTTTAAAATCTTACCTTTTTTTCTTTTCAAAGAAATACCAAGATGTAGAGCATTAGAACTGGTCATATCCTTCTACATGATTTCAATTCACTTCTTTTACTAATGTGTTTAAGGGACAGAGACTTGGAGGGAGAAATGTTGACTCTGTATTTTCTCCTTCTCTTGCCCATCCTCCATCAAATCCTGAGACTCACTCCTAGATCACATTTTTTTTTTTATGTGTGCCAGTACTAGGGCTTGAACTCGGGGCCTGGGCACTGCCCCTGAGCTTTTTCACTTATGGCTAGTGCTTTACCACTTGAGCCACAGATCCCTTTCCTGCTTTTTGGTGGTTAATTGGAGATAAGATTCCCATGGATATTTCTGCCCATGCTAGCTTTGAACCAAAATCCTGGGATCTCAGCCTCTGAAGTAGCTAAGATTACATACACGAGCTGCTGGCACCCAGCTCTAGATGACCTTTTGAATCTGAACTCTCCATTCTGCTTCTGAAACTGTATCTGTGATTAAAGGAGAGAAAGAGAAAGAGAGAGAGAGAAAGAGAGAGAGAGAGAGATCCTGGGGAGTCAGGAATTACTAGGAAATGGTAAATACAGGTATGTTTGTTAGTAACTTGACAGGTAGTTTATAAACATCATTGTGATCAGGTCATGTCTGTAGAGCCAGCTATACAATAGGCTTACATTGGATGATTGCTTGAGCCTGTGAGTTTGATGTCAGCCTGCTCAACATAGAAGACCTATCTAAAAATAGTTAATATGCCTATAGGTCATATGAAGTTCTCATAATGTGTCTATTTCTCTTTCCACTAGTGATCATTGATCTTTCTTTCCCAACTCACAGTGACCCATAACTTTTGAACTGCACATTTAATCAAAATTTTGCTGACATGTTAATTCACTGAAAATATATTTATTAAAAACATAATCTTTGTATTGTTTTTTTGCTTGTTTGACACAGGATCTTACTGTGTGTGCCACTGAGACTGACCTCAAACTTACTATGTAGCCCAGACTGGTTTTGTGAACCTACTGCCTCTCCCTCCTAGATGCTAAGATTACAGCCATACACCACCACACATAGCCTAAGCATAACCTTTGCTTTAGGGAGATAGTGTCAATAAATGCATAAATAAAATATATCACATGATAATATCACATAGTGATACATGTCATTAAGGAAATAAAAGTGTAATGATGAATGGTGGAAGCATTATTTTGAAGAAAGGTGTTAAAATATTCCTCTATGACTGTGACATTTAAGCTAAGAGGAAGCTGTAGGTGCAAATACCCTAAGGTGGTAAGCATGGACTGATCAAGGGTTAGGAAGAAAACCAGTATGATTTGAGTTAAGATATTTAGGCAGAGACCAATTTCATAGATATAGGTCAGAAGTTGGTAAGAGTCATGTATATAAAAGACTTATTGATCATATAGTCAGTAGCTTTCATTTTGTCCTGAGGATGAGTGGAACATTTAAAACAAAGATCCAGTGTGTTTCAGACTCTATTCATTAAAGATCATCCTGAATACTATATGGATGATGATTGAGAAGAAACAGAGAGGAGAGTTGAGAAGCTCCTGCAAGTTTCCAGGTAAGAGCTAATGGTGGCTTACACTAGGGAAGTGGTACTGGAAATGGAAGAATAGGCTTCCTACTATGTTGGCCAGGATAGACATGAATTCCTGAGCTCAAGCAACCTTCCTGCCTCAGACTTTTAAGAAACTGGGACTATAAGCATATACTACCACAACCATCTCTGAAAGGGTAATTGTGAATAAATGTAGGGGGTAATGGAAACAGATGACTTCAGAAGAGATGTGAAAAAGAAAAGAAGAGGGCTGGGAAGGTAGCTCAGTGGTAGAGCGCTTGCCTTCCATGCCTGAGGCCCTGGGTTCGATTCCTCAGCACCACATAAGCAGGGGGGGAAAAAAGCCGGAAGGGGCACTGTGGCTCACAAGTGGTAGAGAGCTAGCCTTGAGCTGAAGAGCTGAGAGACAGCACCCAGGCCAGAGTTCAGGCCCCACGACCGGACCCCCCCCCCAACCAAAAAAAAAAAAAAAGAAAAGTAGAAACTCCTTATGAAGTGTCGATAAAATATTGCAATAGACTAACTTTCAGGACATTTAGATGTAAAGTGCATTAGGAATGGAGAGGCCAAAGACATAGAGTCAGTTCAGGCCAGAATAGTATGGGAGAGCTCTTGGAATGATTGAAATTAAAAATAGAATTACTATATGATCCTGCTATACCACTCATGAGTGCATATCCAAATGAATATAGCTCAGCATACAACTGAGATAATTGCATACCTATATTTAATATCAGCAGTGTTTACCAGGCTACAGAATAAGCCTAGGTACCCAATAACCAATGGTTGTATTTTTTTTAAAGTTTGTATGTGTGTGTATATATACACATATATGTACGTATATACACATGTATATGTGTATATATAAATGTATGTAGGTATATATATGTATATACACTCATGGGAATATATTCATCAATAAAAATGTCCGTTTTTAAGAAAATATATGAAATTAGAGATCATCATGCACATGTTAAGTAAGATAAGCCCAGCTCAATTAGAAAAATACTGCATGCTTTTACTCATAGGTAGAATGTAGACCAAAAAAAATAGTATGGCATGATTTGTAAAAGGGGAATTGTTTGGGTGAGAATGAGGAAGAGAGTGATTGAAAAAGAGAGTAGCAGTTGGTGAACAGAATAAAATTATGTATGTGTGTCTGTCTGTCTATGTGTGTGAAAATAGCATAAAGAGACCCACTAAAGATGTTTCAAAGGAGGAGCTGGTGGAAGGATTTAAGAAAAGCAATATAGACTGCTAACTGATCAAAGTATACATATAAGTAAATGTAAAATGATTTGTGCTAATTAAAAAATACAATCCAGGCACCAGTGGCTCACACCAATAATCCTAGCTACTCAGTAGGCTGAGATCTGAGGATCCCAGTTCAAAGCCAGCCTAGGTAGGAAAGACTATGAGACTCTTATCTCCAATAAACGAGTCAGAAAAAGCCAGAAATGGCACTATGGCTCAAGTGGTAGAGTGCTACCCTTGAGCACAAAAGCTCAGGGACAGGGTCCAGGCCTTGAGTTCAAGCCCTAGGGCCAATACATGCGTGCGTGCATGTGCACGCGAGCGCGCGCGCACACACACACACAAGAGAACATACTGTGTGTTCTCAATAAACCATTGGAGTATTTCAGTCAGAAAGGCCTAAACTAGAATATAATGAATGAATGTATATCTATCCACAAGACACCTTAGAAAAAGCACTTTACAAATATAATTGAAACCTTTCATTATGATGCCATAAGTTTTTACCACAAATGTTGTAATGTATATGAAATGTCTTCCTCACAGGAAACAATTGCTGGGTGAGTATTAATACCTTATATTTTACTAATTAGTTGTGGAGTGCTGCTCTCCTCAATGCTTGTCCTGATATATTTCTCTCATCTACTGTATGTGACTGTTCATGATCCTCATTACTACACGTAATTGTACAACTTTAAATTTTTTAATTCTTCCTTTATAAATCTCTGTAATTGACAACTTTGAAATCTTCTAAGACAGGGGCTTCATATGGTTTATCTGTTTATCCCAAAGCTAAGCAGTGTTTGGAATCAAGTATGTACAACTATTCATTTCTACCACGTTTTGTCTATACTTCTCAATATAGTGCTTGCACAAAGAAAAAGCTCACTCAGCATTTCTCTCCCAATGCTGGAACCCAAATATTTAAGGATCAAGTTTTAGAAAGTTGGTAACTCTTCAAGGTTGAAGTTGTTTGTCTGATGGTTCCATAGAAGGCACTTGTATGTGATTATAAAATACCAGGTTGTCTCATTCATTTTGTTTATGCTACTGAACTTCCACTGTCTTGTGGCAATCAAAATTTGCTCTCTGCAGTATTTCTCAAAACCTATGCTTAACATATTTGCTATTATGATGTTCCTAATTTTCATTACTTACCAGTTGGGACTTTTCCCATGTTCTTCCTCTTGACATTGAGTCTTGTTACTTATTTCTTATTTGGATTTTCTGAGAAACTTCTGCATTTGGTTGTACATAAAAACATAGCCTAGTGAGGCACCAGGCATTTATACCTGTAACCTTAGCTACTCAAGAGGCTGATATCTGAATATCAGAGTTAAAAGCCAACCTGGACAGAAAACTTGAAGAGATTCTTACTTCCAATTAACCAGTTACCATTAACCACTATCTAGTTATCATTAACCAGTAAGGTACAACTGGTAGAGTGACAGCCTTAAGCAAAAAGGTAAAAGAGAATACAAGGTCCTGAGTTCAAGCCACAGTACCAGCACACACAAAAAATAGTCCCTAAATTGACCACCACAATAAAGATACCCTGGTGCAAGAGAAACTTTGGCAAAGTATTAACCTAGGTTGCCAGGTACACCATGGCAGACTTTTTTCAGGAGATCATTTTCAATTGGCTCAATGCACTAAGAGTGTTACAGATCTAAGGCAGACTGAAGGTCAATCAGGTTACTCCTTTGGCCTCACACTTAAGAAAAATATGGACCTGTGGTCTTCTTCAAAGTTTGCAATTTTATATACCATGGTCATAAAATGATCTCATATGAAAAAAGGTTGCCAGGATGCAATAGCAGTTTAAACTTTCAAAAACATATTTTGGCTGGGTGCTGGTGGCTCAGGCCTGTAATCCTAGCTACCCAGGAAGCTGAGATCTGGGGATAGCAGTCCATAGCCATCCTAGGAAAGTCTGAGAAACTCTTATCTCCACTTAACCACTAGAAAACAGGAAGTGGCACTGTGGCTCAAGGTGGTAGAGTGCTACCCTTGAGTGAAAGAACACAGGGACAGCACTCAGGCCCTGGATTCAAGACCCATGACTGAATTTTTTAAAACCATATTGTATACCAAATGCATGTAGAGAGAAAATGCCTCTGGATGAAATACATACAGACATTTTTATTAAAATACAAGACATTAATTTGATTGCATAATCAGATACAATTTAAAGGGGAAGTGGGGGGAGTTTTTTGGTGCATATTTTCAATCTAGGCAAAGAACTATATAAGGTGAAGCTCTGTAGTGTTGGGGATATATTTGAGTTTGTGCTTTATTTGCAAATCTTACGTTTGAGGTTTTTGCTGGAATGGTTTTAGACCAGTAAGATCATAGTCCACAAAGGAAGTGAAATATGAGAGATAGAGAGTAGACTCTTATATGGTGGGATTATTTTGCTGCACTGGGAATTTGAAGGATACTTGTTTTCTTTCCCCTAACCTTCATCTATTGATCAGCCAGGGATTCCTGTTCACATTTTGCTTGGTGTGGCAAGGAACAGGAGGAAAGGATTGCCCTTTTCTTCTGAGGAGGGAACGAGATTTTCTATTTGAAGCAGAAGACAAAGAGTGAAATTCTATTCTTCTCATTGCTTTCTCTTAGCTGTTTACTAAGACAAATGGTTTTGGTTGCTGCATTTCAGAACAACATCCCATTTGGAGGAAGTACTTCACTATAAGGTTGAGAGGGCACCGAGAGATTCATAGACCCTTTTTGCCCAATAGTAGGAAAGGAGGAGTAAGTGAGCGATGAGGGGTTTCATGGTTTACCAGCTCAGAGTCTTAAACTAAGACTTGTATAAATGACAGGGCCAGCCAGCAACAATCTTATGGTTATTGATGTACTCCAATTATTGTTAGAAATCATTTTTCACCCTTCATGAGAGATGCTGTTCTGCATATAAAAACACTATCAATTTCACACATCATTGTTGGTTTCTGATAACAAGTTAGAAACAAAAGGTTGTATACACACACATATGGCTACATAAAGTTATACTCAAAAATGAAAAGGGTAAGTTAAGACAAAAAATTAATAAAATACCAACAAAGAAAAAATAGATAACATATCCACAGTGGGATATGAAAAAGAATATTTGAACAGAATGATGGAATGTTGGTTAGTTCACTATTTATGTACCTGGAGAACATGAAGGTCTTTGAGGAGAAGCCAGAGATTATTCCCCCTAGTATCCTTTATGAAAGAATAATGGGACAGGTTAGTGAGAAGCACACACAGAGCTAATGGGACTGGTCATATGTAAGTGATTTGATAGCTGTTTAGTGGCAAATATTGAGAGTGAACTTGCTTCTGTCTCTGTGTCAGGTTTGGGAGCTCGACTTGGACCAGTTATGTCCCTTTTGAAAGTGTAAGGAACTGAGATTATTGGCCAAAATACTGTTTCTCCCCTTCTTCAGTGTCAATTTAGTAGTGTTACCATGACATAGATATGAAAAGAACTGATTGTTAGGAGGAAAGGGAGTGACATGCAAAAGGATGGCAAAGGAAGGGAGCCAATAGTGAGTTACATAGGCAGAGTGCTGCAGTGGACCACAAGATTATAGTCAGGAGGTGGACTATGGCACTCAAGAGTGGGATCCAGAGGCAGGAGAGCGCTATCTTCCATCTGTTCTTCCTCTTCAAGCTCAGAGGCCAAATTATACTTTACAAGATCCAGTTCAGTCTCCATCAGAAGGGACTCCTTGCTCTTGTTGATACCTTTCAGGCTGGTCAAGGGAAAGAAAAACAAGCTTAACTTAGAACTCATGGTTTTGGAATAGTGTGTCCTTTAGTTGAAGGGGTACCACAGAATGGTGAATATGGAGGAAATGGAGGAAATCTGATTCTTCTTTTGAAAACTCAGTGACTTCATTTAGGGAAACCAGAGTTTAGTGCGTGCATCCATGCATTGTCGTATAGAAACAGATACAGGAACTGTGCTTCTAGATAGGCATTTTCTGATCTTATTGAAGAAAATTAACCAAGATCATTTGCCATAAAGCATATGTATATCTGCTACTACTGCCTCAAGCTCCAGGTGACATTGAGATAGTCATGCCATCTTGATGTGCTTCAGTTTTCTCATAAGTTAGATGAGCAAGAAGGTACATGGTTGGACGGGATAACCTTAGAACTTACTCCAACACGTATTTCTATGCCTTGACACCACTGACATGAATACAAATTTCAACTTGATTTAAGTGGGCTTTTTTGATTTTGGAGAAATCCTTACTCTGTTCTACATCTTCCGTGTCTATATCATAATGGGCTTGCCATGAATTGTTTCAAAAACTTTATTCAGCTCTGAAATTTTAAGATACTATATGAGTCTAGATTTTCCTAAATGGGCAAAGAAATTTCAGAGAGGTCTCATGCTTTTGCATGATGATGATACTCCTATTGTTAGCTAACAAGTGCTGATCATTTACTGTACATCATATATCTATACTGAGTACATTTTCTACATTGTGTTTTGGCTTTTACAGAAGGTATTTATAGATGTTAGCCCCATTATGACTAGTTTGTTTTCTGGGCTTTATTATTATCATTATTATTTCCTTTCTTTCTTATTCCACTTTCTTTGTTGCATGTATTTTGCCGAAATTGGGACTTGAACTCAAGGCCTGGGTGCTGTCCAAAGCCGGTATTGTACCAACTTGAGCCATAATCCTACTTCTGCTTTTTGTTGGTTAATTGTGGAAAAGAGTTTCATGGACTTTCCTTCCTGGAAACTGTAATCCTTGGATCTCATCATTCTGAGTAGCCAAGATCATGAACACCAGAACCTGGCTGCCAAATATTTTTGAATTCCTTCTTTTTCAGTGCCTTTATATTTGACTCAACATCTTTTTTTCATTTTCATTTCATTTTATATGTTGCACTACTTAGTAGGGTTGTTCCTCTTATTTCTTTTAGTTCTTATTCTTAAGTATCTTCTTAGTTAAGATTTACTATTTTTTCCTCTAAATATATTGGAGTTGGAGTGATTATTGTTCTTATTTCTGTATGTACATAGTAGGTATGCCAATCAATTGTTCATTCTTCAATTCAAATAATGCATGAAACTAAAACCTCCAACAAACAATTTGGCCCAATATGTGCAAATATCACATAAGAAACACAAAAACATGAAAAATCAAGACAATATAACTATAAAGAGTTAACACTTCCATAATAATTGTTTCCAATGATGGTAAAGTCAATGACCCCACAGAAAAAGAATTAAAAAGGGAGAGGAGGGAAAGAAAGGGACTACTACAATGTGAAGAATATACAAATACATTATCTCTATACCAAGATCACATGATGAAACTCACTGAAAACATGAATAATCGAGGTTAAAGGAGGAGGGGAGAGTATCACACAGGTAAATCTGATTAATGTAATTGATACAAATGTGAAATATTTTAAAACATCTTTGAGCAATCAACGTACACATAAAAATGAATGACAGAAAACTAAAGTTCCTGCATGAGGGGGTAACTAGTGGGAGGGGGAAATGTAGAGCATGCAATATGGCTAATATGGATGAAATACACACATATATATATATATATATATATATACATATACATATATATATCTATATATATGGAAACAGAAAGAAGAATGAAACCTGTTGGGGTCACTTTAAGAAGGAGATGAAAAAGGAAGGGGAAGAGCAATGGTAGGTGTGAATATGAAGAGGATATGCTGCAAACACATATTTATACAACATTATTAAACCAGCTTGTACAACTAATCAATGTTAAGTTTAAATAGATAATAACGGTACCACTGGTTGCCTGTAATCCTAGCTACTCAAGAGGCTGAGATCTAAGGATCACAATTCAAATCCAATCCAGGCAGGAAAATCTGAGAGACTCATATCTCCAATTAAATATCAAAAAGTGAGAAGTGGAGCTGTGGATAAAGTGGCAAGGTATTAGCCTTGAGCAAAAATGCTGGGGGACAGCACCTAGTCTCCAAGTTCAAGCCCTAGTATTGTCACACACAAAAAAAGTAAAAAAGAAAACTCACTAGTCATGTTGTGATACCAATAAAAAACAACAACAACAACAAAACAAGGATAACAGTGGCTCATGCATATAATCCTAACTACTCAAAAGGCTGAGATCTGAGGATTTTGGTTTGAAGCCAGGATAGTCTTTGAGACTCTTACTCTAATTAATCAACAAAAAGCCAGAAGGAGAAGCCTTGAATAAAAAAAACTCAGGAACAATATCAAGCCCTGAGTTTAAGCCATATGACCAGCATGTACACACAGACACAAACACACATACACAACACACACACACACACACACACACACACACAATGATTCTGGAATAAAACTATATAGCTCAGCTATGAAATTCTATGGTGAAAGCTCATTTAAAAACTAACATATAGTTAAAATAATGAATGACAAAAGGTAAACAAGTCCTATCTGTGTTATAGATACTAGTGGGGTGGAAGAGGAGATCAAATGCAGAAGACGACTATGGATAATATATACTTGACAGAATGGAACAATGAAGTTTGTTGAGACTGATTTGGAAAGAGAAGGGAGACGAGAGACAGGAATGGGGGAATGCATATCATCAAGGTACATTAGATACATTTATGGTCATGTCCAAATAAAATACCATTGTAAGACCAATGCAATAAAAATATGGGAAAACTGGATGCCATTAGCTCATGCCTGTTATCCTAGCTACTCAGGAGGCTGAGATCTGAAGATTATGGGAGAAAAGTCTGTGAGACTCTTATCTCTATAATCACCAGAAAACTGGAAGTAGAGCTACGGGTCAAACTGATAGAGAGCTAGCCTCGAGTAAAAAAGCTTAGGGGGGCTGGGAAAATGGCTCAGTGGTAGAGTGCTTGCCTTGCATGCCTGAGATCCTGAGTTCGATTCCCCAGCACCACATAAGCAAAAAGAAAAAAAGCTGGAAGTGGCGCTGTGGCTCAAGTGGTACAGCACTAGCCTTGAGCTGAAGAGCTGAGGGACAGCGCCCAGGCCCAGAGTTCAGGCCCCATGACTGGACCCCCCCCCTCAAAAAAAAGATTAGGGACAATGCCCAGACCCTGAGTTCAAGCCCCAGAAAAAATTGTGAAAAACAAAAAAGTTATATTTTTATGTCCATGGTTACAGACTACTGTTAAGAAAATAACGAAGTTGCCGGGCACCAGTGGCTCATGCCTGCAATCCTAGCTATTCAGGCGGCTGAGATCTGAGGATCACAGTTCAAAGCCAATCCAGGCAGGAAAGTCCATGAGACTCTCATCTCCAAAAATAAACCACTAGAAAACCAGAAGTGGCGCTGTAGCTCAAGCGGTAGTGTGCTCGCCTTGAGCTGAAGAGCTGAGGGACAGCGCCCAAGCCCAGAGTTCAAGTCCCATGAACGACAAAAACAGAAAAAGAGAAGAAAAATGGAGAAAGTAGCACTGTGGCTCAAGTAGTAAAGTGCTAGCTTTGAGCTGAAGAGCTCAGGGACAGCATCCAGACCAAGTTCAAGTCCCATGACCGACAAAAAAAAAAAAAGAAAAATGGAAAAAATAAGTTCCATTAGATGAGTAGATAAGCAAGTAAGGATTAGGAAAGAAACATATATAAAAGATTACAGGAATTACTATATACCTTTCAATAATATCTCTGAATGGTAGCATTCTTAATTCTCCTATCAAGAGACACAAAGCTGATTGGATTTTTTAAAAAGAAACAAAAACAACATTTTGTTGCATAAGAAATGCAACTCATTGGCAGACATAATCACAGACTTTAAAAGGAAAGGCAAAAAGATATTCCAAGAAAATAGAGTCTAAAAGCAAGCAAGAGTACCTATATGCCTATTTGACAGATCAATCGAAAATTGACCAAAGGGGATAAAGAATATAACATTAAAGATAAGTGAAATAGAAAATCTTGGAAAAAATTATATTAAGCGAAGTAAGCCAGACTTAGAGAAAGACAGGTTGCATATTTTCCCTCATTTGTGGTAGCTAGAATGTGCCCATAAATCTTCAAATAAAACTGGGCAACTGTGTCTCACACCCGTAATCTTAGCTACTCAGGAAGATGAGATCTGAGGATTGCAATACGAAGGCAGCCCAGACAGAAAAGTCCATGAGACTTTTAGTTCCAATGAATTACTCAGAAAAAGCCAGAAGTGGTACTGTGGTTGAAGTGGTAGAACACTAGCCTTGAGCACACAGAGGTTAAAAGACAGTGCCCAGGCCCTGAGTTCCAGTCCCAGGACTGACAAAAAATCTACAAGAAAACATTATATGGTTAAAAAAATACATTGGAACATGATAGATTATACACATCTCTAAACAATCACATACAGTAAGACCAAAGGAGGATTTTCTTAGGAGAGGAACACAAAGGCACAATAGCTATGTGTATCTGATCATATAAAATAATGTTTATTGAAAAGAACTCCAGGGAATGGAAACAAGAGATTTTTTCTTTCTTTCTTTCTTTCTTTTTTGGTTGGTCATGGGGCTTGAACTCTGGGCTGGGCACTGTCCCTGTGCTTTTCACTCAAGGCAAGCATTCTACCACTTGATCCACAGTGCCACTTCTGGTTTTCTAGTGGTTTATTGGAGATAAGAGTCTCACGGACTTTCCTGCCCTGGCTGGCTTTGAACTGTGATCCTCAGATCTCAGCCTCCTGAGTACCTAGGATTACAGGCATGAGCCACCGGAGCCCGGCAAGAGGTTTTTTTCTTAATTGTTGATTCTGTGGAAGTGGTGCTGTGGCTCAAGCGGTAGGGCGCTTGCCTTGAGCTGAAGAGCTGAGGGACAACGCCCAAGCCTAGAGTTCAAGCCCCATGACCGATAAAAAAAAAAGAAAGAAAGAAAGAAAGAAAGAAACAATTGTTGATTCTGTTTTCTTTTCCTTTTGTCTTGTTTGTTCATTTATATGTGTTTGGGAAGGTAAAGGGAGAGCACAAAAATGGTGGGACAAAGAGTGAACAACTGTAGCACTGGTACTCAGTAGACACTGTTGAAAAGGGGAACTATATAACTTGTAGGTGAAAGAAAAACTAGGAGAGAGTGAGAGAAGGGGTATTATTGTTAAAAAGAAATATGCTCTTTATTTGACTTAATTAACTGCAACCTCTCTGCACATCTCCTTTATAATAACAATTTAAAAAAATGTATGAAGCTGGGTGCCAGTGGCTCATGCCTATAATCCTAGCTACTCAGGAGGCAGAGATCTGAGGAACATGGTTCAAAGCCAGCCATGGCAAGAAAGTCCCAGTGAGACTCTTATCTCTAATTAACCACTCAAATCCTGGAAGTGGAGCTATGGCCCAAAGTGGTAAAGCACTAGCCCTAAGCAAGTGACAGTGGGACAGTGCCCAGGCCCTGAATTCAAGCCCCACAACAACAAATGAAAAATAAAAATAAATAAAGGTAAGTGAAACAGGCTACATAAATCAAACACTAATAAACATGTAAGCACAAGTAATAGTGAAACAGTGGGTGACTTTAGTGCCTATTTCCATCAATAAATAATCCCCTTGACAAAAATAAATCAACAAAGAGCTTCAGAATTATATGACACATCAGATCAAATGCACTGACAAGACGCCTACAGAGCATTCCACTCAACAGCCACAGAACACTCTTCTCAGTAGTCCATGCATCTTACCCCCAATAGATCATATTTTGTGATATATAATAAGCCCAAAAAGGCAAAAATTGAAATAACTTCCTGTGGGTTCTCAACTATTGAATAAAAATGAAAGATCAGTGGCAAGAATAACTCCAGAAAAATTCAAAGACATATGCATTCAAATAAAATCCCTTAAATTGTCTTAGTGGATCATCAAAGAAATATGGGTGTGTAATAAAAAAAAATTCCTAGATTAAAAGGAAATACAATTTGCCAGAACTTTGAGGATACAGTAATGTCAGTGACTAAAGAAATTTCATAGCTATAGGAGCCCAGAGATAAACTCACACAGGTAGAACCATCTGATTTTTGACAAATCAAAAACATAAATTTGGAAAAAAGAATCTCTTCAACATATAGTGTTGGGAAATCGGGATGGCACATATAAAAGGCTGACATTAGAACACTGTGTCTCAACTCTGAAAATGTCTAAGTAAAAGATCTTAATAGAAGACATGAACTTTGAAACTACTACAGGAAAACAGAGTGGAAACACTTAAAAATACTGTCATAGGTCACTATTTTCTGAATTGGACCCTAAATGGAAATAAGATTAAGAATGCACAAAGCCAGGCACTGGTGGCTCATGCCTATAATCCTACCTACTCTGGGTGCTGAGATCTGAGGATGGCGGTTCAGAGCCAGCCCGGGCAGGAAAATCTGTGATACTCTTACCTCCAATTAACCACAGAAAACAGGAAGTAGCACTGTGGCTCAAGTGGTAAAGTGCTCACCTTGAACTGAAAAGCTCATGGACAGTGCCCGGGCCCAGAGTTCAAGCCCCATGACCAACCACTTCTCCCCACAAAAAAGAATGCACAAATGGAAATATATCCAGTTAAAATGCTTCTGCACATCAAAGGAATCAAGTTAAAAAAAGCTAGAATTAAAAAAAGTATTATAACATAGGTAATTCCTGATGTACAAGGATTGTGTATTATTTTCTGTATTCTCAGTTTTTAGCACATGAGACAATTATTGGAATGAGGAAGGGATTGGGATAAATAGGTGAGAGTCATTTATTCACAATACCCTTGATTCTAAACTGTTTCCAGTTAATCTCTATCTTTGAACCAGTTTCAAATAAAGTTAGAATGCTTTGAAAAAGTGATGAATTTTGGTAATTGCCTTTTGGGGATTGTCTAGAAAAGTGTCTCTCATATTTCATATCCCATATCCTGACTGGCTCTAGAAAGAAAATGCATATTTTACTGGTACTGTATGTTTAGATCAGATGTGTGCCTTTCTCACTGGACACTGTACTCACGGCAAAGTCATGATCCCATGGGTCCAGGAGTGGATTTCCAGGCACTTCTGGCTATTGACCTCATCCCAATGAGGAGTAGTCACATAGTCTCCTTCACTATCCTGGATAGAAAAAGGATGAAGGAATTAATATACCATTTGGGTCATCAAATCAGGTATCTGAGAAGTTATTTAAGGGTATAGTGATCCAGCCTACTCTGCAAGTAATATACAACTAGCCCAACATTGCATCTGTGCACACAGCCCACCCAGGTGCAGTCTAGACTATTTCATAGCTTCCCTTGAAGGTATGTGGCTCTGAAATTATACCCTGGATAACTGAATATGGGATCAAGTGAAGTATGTAACTTCAGTGTCACTTCTGGGAAACTGCTAGTCCTTCCTCTGTCACTCGTGTCTGTGTTTTAACCACATAACAAGAACAACTCCCTAACCGTGAGGGCATAGTGGAACATGCAATATAGAAGAAAACTTTTCCTGGTAACTTTCTGGAGCTGATTCATTGTCCATTCTGGAATAGCCCTATATCTCTGGATTATAATATGGTAAAAAATAATCTATGCTTCCTGAGTCCTTATCTTTTAGAGGAACTAATAATTGTGATAGATTAGCCTACACTCTAATTAATAGAGCTTACTTATTAGTAAAAAGACAATATGTGGTCTCAGAAACACTTTGGCAATATATAGAGGCTCATATGCACATGTATCCAAACAATAACTGAAGTATGATATATGCAAGAGAAACTTCCAAAGATGTAACTTTATAAACGTTAGTCTAATGTTTAACTCTTTTGCATAAAGTTGACATAAAATTATAGGAAAATATGGGGAGGCAAAAATTAGAACAATCTTCCAGCAAAAAAAAAATTTTTTTTTTTTTTTTGGTTCCGGTCATGGGGCCTGAACTCTGGGCCTGGGCACTGTCCCTCAGCTCTTCAGCTCAAGGCTAGCGCTCTACCACTGGAGCCACAGCGCCACTTCCAGCTTTTTTCTTTTTGCTTATGTGGTGCAGAGGAATCGAACCCAGGGACTCAGGCATGCAAGGCAAGCACTCTACCACTGAGCCACCTTCCCAGCCCTCCAGCAAAAATTTTCAAGTATCCTCTTAGCAATTAAAAATTCCTTAAGTACAAAAGCTATATAATTTGAAACAACAACAAAGCCTGCTGGTCACCCAGACTTTTGTCCCATTTACATTAAAAAAGAAATAGACAATACGATGCTATTGCCCAAGATTTGTTTCCTTAGTATTTTGCTAAAAGAAATCTTGTAGCTGGGCTCCAGTGGCTCATACCTGTAATCTTACCTACTCAGGAGGCTGAGATCTGAGGATCAAAGCCAGCCCGGACAGGAAAGTCAGTGAGACTCTGATCTCCAATAAACCACTAGAAAACTGGAAGTGGTGCTGTGGCTTAAGAGGTAGAGTGCTAGCCTTGAGCTGAAGAGCACAGGGACAGTGCCCAGGCCCAGAGTTCAAGCCCCATGACCGACAACAACAGAGAGAGAGAGAGAGAGAGAGAGAGACAGAAAGAAAGAAAGAAAGGAAGGAAGGAAGGAAGGAAGGAAGGAAGGAAGGAAGGAAGGAAGGAAGGAAGGAAGGAAGGAAGGAAGAAATCTTGTGGCTTTTTTTCTTTTCACTTTTAAATATAACTTGTTAACATAAATGCCATTCCGCCTTGATATCTAACCTTCTCATTTCAGGTTAAGTATATAAAACTAAGTAGAGAAAATCTCTGCTTTGCCTATTTCATTAAACAGCACAGTATCAAATAAAAGTGGTAACTTTTAAAATAGTTTGAAGACTTCTCAAAACACAAGAAGCATGGCCTAAAATCATTCAGGCAGAAGACATAAATAGTACATTGGTTCCATGCTGTAAACACCTTTTACTTTATCCCATCTGTTTTTTGAAAATCTCTATTCTACAAAAAAAAACAACATGTTTATGAAGACATGGCTTTATTTACTGGATTCTAACTTGATGTGATGCTTGATGTGATGCTCAGTACTTTTAGAAACATAAAACATGAAATAGGCAGTTTAATATATGATGTGATGAAAGTGTTCCCTTATACCTGTTAGAATAGAAAAATTCAATCAGATGCTTCAATTCCATCATTAGTATCTTTATACTTTACAATCTTTTTCCTTTTTCTGTCAACCAAATCTACTCAGACAAATGCATATTATTTTTTTCTATATGTGTCTAGTTTATTTTAAAATCTTAAATGTGAGAGAAATTATCTAGATCTCAAAGATCCAAGGTGTTTGTTTTTTTAACATCAGTTAGTTGTAAAATGAAACCCTGTAACATTTCTATTTGTCCCTACAATCCATCTTGAACATTCACCCCTTTCATTCTTCTCTCCCATCTCCCTCCCCTTCCCAAACCAGTCTCATTAGCTTCTTTGTTCTATTTTCATGCATATACATAGGTTATTATAACTATATTCACTCTCTTTCTTCCTCTCCCTTCACCTGCCCCTCCCACTGGTACCCATACCCCAGCCCAGACACATTTCAGCTTTCTAGTATTCTTTTTACTAAACTGCATGTTGATTATGTAAGGGGTTTCATCATGGTGTCTTACAAATACCATGTTTTAATTAGATGGATCATGTAAATCTAATCTTATATGTGTTCATATTTAAGTCTAATATCCACTTATGAGAGAGAGCATTCAGCCTTTGTCATCCTGAGCCTGGCTTGCTTCACTTTATACAACATTTTCCAACTCTATCCTTTTCCCTACAAATGACAAGATTTCATTCTTCTTTATGGCTGAGAAACATTCCATTGTATAAACCATATTTCAGCAGTCCGTTTATCAGTTGTAGGACATCTAGGCTCTTACCATCACTTGGCTATTGTAAATATAGGTGTGTATATGCCTCTATTATATCCTGGCTTACATTCTTTCAGCTAAATGCCCAATAGTGGTAGGTGCTGGATTGTAGCGTACTTCTCTCTTTGAGAACTCCCAAACTGACTTAGATAGTAGTTTCACTGGTTTACTAGTTTAAAGACTCTACCACAAAACTGAGATTTCATACTCTTAACAATGTAGCAAGATATGAAATCAACATGCATAAATCAGTTTCCACTCTATATACCAATAATAAACATGTTGAAAAAGAAATGAGAAAGACAAACCTATTCATAATAGCTTCAAAAGGAGTGGGGTAGCTAGGCACCCAGGACAAGCATTAAAAAAAAATGTCTCTTTTTGTGTCACTCTTGGTATTTTTTAATTTTGTTTTCCAGTTGCGGGGCTTGAACTCAAATACCACTAACCTCAAACACAGCTTCTTTCTGTTCCTTGGATACCTCTACTTCATCAAATGACCAAATTAGTGGTTCCTTCAGGGGATCGATGCTGTTGTGGAGAAAAAGAGTTTAATTTTTTATGCCTTATTATTATTATAAATTTAAACTTTATTCATCAATATTATTTTAAGGAGCAAATCATAGTTATGTAATTTTAGACATTGGTAAGATGACCAACCACAGGTATCTAATATCCATTCCCTCCTAAAAAAAGACCCAAACAAACTTTTTATCTAAGTAAAGGAGAGGGGAGAGAATTAACATAGTAAAAATGGCAATTCTGGCCAAAGCAATATACAAATTCAATCAATCCCCATGAAAATCCCAACAACTTTCTTAAAAGAAATGGAGAAATCAACTCAAAAATTCATATGGAATAATAAAAGATCTAGAATAGCAAAAACTACGCTTAGCAGGAAGAATAGTGCTAAAGGAATATCATTACTGAACTTCAGCTATATTACAAAGCCATAGTAATAAATACAACTTGGCACTGGCACAAGAATAGGCCTGAGGACCAATGGAACAAATAGAAGACCCAGAAATATTCCTACAAACATATAGCCACCTAATATTTGATAAGGGAGATGAAAACGTAGGTTGGAAGAAAGACAGCCTCTTCAACAAATGGTGCTGGCAAAATTGTTTATCTACATGTAGAAAACTGAAGCTCTATACTCATACACCACCTTGCACCAGAATCAACTCTAAATGTATCAAAAGGCTTCAATGTAAAGCCAGATACTATGAAAATATTACAAGAAGGAGTAGGGTAAACCCTAGCCCTTCTAGGCACAGGTTGACAATTTCTAAATAAAGGATCAGAATCAGAACAAATCAAAGCAAGACAGTAAATGGGATTGTATCAAACTGAAGAACTTCTGCGTGGCAGAGGACACAGCTAGAAAGAGAAATAGAAAACCCACATAATGGAAGAAAATCTTTACTAGCTATGCATCAGACAAGGGCCTCATATCTAAAATATACTTAGAGCTGAAAAATTAACCCCCCCCCCAAAAAAAAGATCTCAAAAACTCAGCAATCCAATCGTAAATGGGCTTAAGACTTAAAAAGAGATTTCTCAGAGGAAAAAAAAAGAATGGCCAATAGACACATGAAGAAATATTCAGCATCTCTGGCCATAAAAGAAATGCTAATCAAAACAACATTGAGATTCTACCTCACTCCAGTTAGAATGGCCATTATCAGGAAAACTAACAACAACAAATGCTGGTGGGGATGTGGCCAAAAGGAACCACTATTACACCATTGGTAGGAATGTAAACTTGTTCAACCACTCTGGAAAACAGTATGGAGGTTCCCTGTGATCTAGTAATAACACTCCTGGGCATTTATCCAATGGACCACAAATCAGGCCACACTAAAGCCACCAGCAAAACCATATTCTTTGCAGCACTGTTCACAGGCAAGGTATGGAATCAACCCAGATGTCCTTCTGTGGGAAAATGGATCAAGAAAATGTGGTATATATACACAATGGAATTCTATGTTTCTATCAGAAAGAATGACATTGCCCCATTTGTAAGGAAATAGAACAAAAAAATTATTAAGCCAAGTAAGCCAGAGCCAAAGAAAAATAAGCTGCATGGTTTCCTTTGTTTGTGGTTAACTCGAATGTGCCTATAAATTTACAAGTAACACACTGAATAATCAATATATATGCACCCACACTAAACTATGATAAATTATACAGGACCCTAGACATTCACACACTGAGGCCAAAGAAGTATATTCATAGGAATGGTTGACAAAGACTCATTTGCTATGTGCATATGATCATATAAAATAATATTGTGTGAAATAAATCCCAAGTAAAGGAAATAAGAGACATTGTTTAGTTGCTACTGTTGCTGCTTTTGTTTTCCTTTGTCTTGTTTATTAGTTTGCTTGTATTTTGGAGGGTAAGTGGGGCACAGAAAAGGTAGAACAAGGGTGAACAAATACATCAGTGGTACTCACTAGACACTACATGGAAAATAAACTATACAAGGGGAGACATGGTTCAAAAAGAATTGTACTCATTACTCATTACCTGAGTCATGCAACTGCAACCCTCTGTATATCAACTCTACAATAACAATGGAGAGCATTAGAGTACATCATGCCAGAGACTGTGTAGAGCAGTGAAACTGAGTTTTATCATTTAGAGAATGGAATGAAAGACTTTGCATCTCAGGGTCACAAACAGAAGGGATTTCTCCCTGAAGGAAAAAGGTAAGCAGGACACCTTAGTAGCCTATCACTTCTATAGATTCATGTAGTCCAGTACTTGAACCAGTCTGGTGGCATATCCCCAGGAGCAGTGATTTTGGCCAAGGGGAGAGTTTGCAATTCAGCACCCTGGCCCATGAAGCACCCTGCCTAACTGACATTCTAAGATTCATTTAAATTGTTTTTATTGAAAACTATTGTAAGCTGGGCATGGTGATTCACACCTGTAATCCTAGCTACTCAGGAGCCTGATATCTGAGGATCACAGTTCAAAGCCAGCCCCAGCAGTAAAGTCCTTCCTATTTCCAATTAACTATCTTTAAAAAAAAGAACTGGAAGTAGAGCTGTGGCTCAAGTGGTGGAGCACTAGCCTTGAACATAAAAGTCCAGAGATAGTGCTCAGGCTCTTAGTTCAAACCACAGACCAGCAAAAAGCAAAAATAAAAACAAAAATCCTACTCTATAAAGTTGAAAGAGACAACTCTTCTCGCAGTGTGCAAGAACTTATAGACAAGGTCAACCTAATCATGCATCAAAAACAAAAATACTGAGAAAGAAAGTTTAGTCAAGATGTATTGTACTCATAAACTGCTTTGTTGAATGGTAACTCCTGTGACCAACTAAAGATAATAAAAATATTAAAAATGAAAGACTACAAGACATGTAGAAGAACATGAAACCAACAAATATCTTCATTATGAGGGTTTCAGAAGAAGTGAAACAAAAAACTTGTTTAACAAAAACAGAAAGCTTTACACTTATTCACAGAATTGTGAATCTCAAAAGTCTCCAAACAGGTTGACTCAAGTACTTACTCCCTGAGGCACATATAATAAAATTGTCAAAAATCAAAGGCTGAGAGAGTTTTATTTTATATCATTCTTTCACTTTCTTTTTTATGGGGCTGGGGATTAATCTGAGGGTCTTATGTGCCCATTACTCCTAGCCACTCAAAGAGAAAAGTTTAAATATAGAAACTAAAAAGCTTTAATTGACACACAAGGGAAAATTCATGAAACAATGAGTCAATTCCACAGCAGACACTATACAATCCAGTAGAGCATGCATGATACATTCAAAGTGCTGGAGAACAGAAAATGCCCATCCATTGAAAATTCTACACACAATAAAATTGTCCTTCATGAATGAAGTAATGGTCAAATATAATTAAATAAGTTGTTATGCTAGTCAAATCATTTTTATTGCCATGACAAAATGGCTGACACAAACATTTTAAAAGAGGAAACATTTATTTTAGTTCTAAGTTTCAGAGTCAATGGTTGGCTGGCTCTACTGCCATGGGCTCATGGAAAAGCTCAGCATCAAGGTGGAAAAGTAAAGGTAATTTACAAGAATCTAACAAAGAATCTAAAAACCAGCAGAACATAATAAGCAATAGCATATGCATTTTTGAATGGATTATCATTCTGTTGATGTGGTTTTCCAACGTATCCTTCTTTTCTACCATGCTAGCAAGAATATTTATTATTTATGTGTCTCATTTTCAAGTGGAAGACATTCTGAAAGAGCCAGACTTAATACTTCCTTCTTTCCAGTAAGGGAGAGAAGAAGTGATTATTTAAAGAGAGTCAGGATAGCCTTCTCATATTTCCCCTTTTTGGAACATGTTTTCATGTGAAAGTATATTCTCCCTCTTGGGGATTCCTGTAGTTTGGGGTTAAGTTTAATCCAGGGAAATGTTAACAATTCCACTTGATTACACACATAAGCCCATCTTCTAAACAAATTTATATCAGCAATAGTCTAGATTCATGACATTCATATAGCTCTAACATTTTTCTCAGTAAGATTTTTATTCAGGTGATATCTCTATTGAAATAACTACCAATTTTAGACAAGTATGCCTATCAAGTTTGTCAAATCAACATCCCAAAGCCATGCCACAGAAACTACTGGATCTCACCTGTCTTCCAGAATGATATCATTTTTCAAGGTTGTTTGCACGGGGTCCAGTACAGTAAAGTTAGCAACTGCATCAGTGACGCTGAGGGGTATATAGTCTTTGCCATCCTGCATGATAAACAAAAATGACAATCAATCTCAAAGGAAAACATGAGATTTGTGAGTCTCTTTCTTGCTTCATTTGACTACAAGAAGAATTTCTGTGTTTTATTGGGCAGTTAAAAAAGCTTGCTGTAGTGCCTGGCACTGGTATCTCGTGAATTTAATCCTAGTTACTCAGGAAGCTGAGATCAGAAGATCATGGTTCGAAACCAGACTGGGCAGGAAAGTCCATGAGACTCTAATCTCCAATAAGCTACCAAAAAGCCAAAAGTGGGGTGAGGTCTGCTCAAGTGGTAGAGCGCCATCCTTGAGTGAAAAAGCCAAAGGGAAAAAAAATATAAGGCCTTATATTCAAGCTTCAGTAGTGGCACAAAGAAAAAAATATGTTTGCTCTATTTCTGCACTTACTTCAATCTCTAATAATAATTTGGCTCTGAACCACTTCTTTGTGTTTGAAAGGGTAAATAGTAAGTCTGCTTTAAAAATTATGGCGGATTCATCATCCATTACAAAAAGGATTTTTCCCTTTTACATTTCTATTTCCTCTACCATCTTTCCTCTTAAACAATTCTCCAAAAGATAAATGAATGCAGTATTTAGTTTTCTATTGCTATGACAAAATGCCTGAGATAAGCAACTTAAGGGAAGAAGGATTTATTTCAGTTCATGGTTTCAGTTTTAGTCCATGATCTATTGCCATGTACTTGAGGCAGAGCTGAAACATCAAGATGGGGAGAATTAATAAAACAACATGGTTCACTCCATAGGAAACATGAGGCAGAGAGAGAGGAAAGTGGGAGATATACGATATATCCCTCAAAGGCATGATTCCAGTGACCTCTTTCATCTAATCAGAACCCACATTCTACTAATTCACTCAGTATGAACTCACTGATGGATTAACCTTATTAATAAAGTTAGAACTTTCATGATTCAATCACCACTCCATGACACTATCAGCTGAGAACTAAGCCTTTGACACATGAGCATTTCTGGGGAACAGTTCATGTCCAAACCACAAAAGAGGACAACTCTTTGGAACATAACAGCTCTGACCATGTTGTGGTATATTACCCATGGTTTTCCTGTTATATACTACCCCTTGGGTTGTCTGATTATATAATCCACCTCTGGTAGTATGTAGAAAATATTATCCAAAGTAAAAATTCAAATATGTTCAAAACAAATAATAACAAGCACCACTTACCTTGTGCCAAGTAATAAAAATTAATACTTTACATATTTTATGTAGTATATCCATCATGAATTATGAAATAAGATTCTATTAGTAGCTCCATTTTACAGATGGGCAGGTTGGGGCATAGAGAAAAAACGTAATTAAGTAATTAAGTAAAGTAAGTAAGAAAATTAAGTAATTTGCCAACGTTAACAGAATAAGTGCTAGGTCCCGATCTGACTCAAAAAAATCTATCTTAAGCACTATTTATTGCCATTCTTGACCACTGTCATTTGAAGTCGAGATTTTCCACAAATCTATACTGTGCAACCTGAACTATTTTAAACCTACTTTCCTATACACTCTCTAGTCACAGCCCTAAGTTTAAGAAACATGCCTGTCTTCTATATTGCCTGTTATAACTAAAACGGAAATTGAAGATTTGGTTTGAATTTTATTGCTGAGGTATAAGAGAAAGGTAATTCCAAGACTGGAAATCATTCCAACATCTTCATTGTACATGTTGCCAGGTGAGGAAGCTAAAACCCAAAAGAACTGAAGAAGTGACTTACCCAATGTTCTTTAGGTACCAAACTTTAGTGGATACTCTTGTATCTAATTACTGAAATACTTTCAAAAATTACTCCCTGTCTCCATGAAATGAACTTGTGTATTAGTATTTATTAAGCAATATTAGGAGCTTGTAAGTACATGAATAAACAGACTAATTTACCTTCTAGAAGTAGGTGGCTTTTGTAAATACCCAGATTAGAATATCACAAAACAAAAACACCAGTTCCTTTACTCATTACCTTGCCCACTATTCTTTTTTTTTTTTAACTGTATTTTTTTTGTCTTTTCTTTTCTGGTACTGGGGATCGAACCCAGGACGTTACACTTGCTAGGCAAGCGCTTATGCCTCTGAGCTAAATCCCAGCCCTTGCCCACTATTCTTTAATAACTAGTTGAAGATTTAAAAGTTCCTTCATCAAGTTACTTCATCTCATATTTTCAACAACACAATTTGTTCGGGGATGGCAATGGAATTGTGGTTCAACACTACTTGGTTTGTTTTGAGATACACAGGGCTTAACTCTTGCCATTTTTGATTTAGAAAGAAAAGTAAAGAGTGAATTTGAGAGAAAACTTCATTAGTAGATGAAGGGATTAGTCGCTATGACTTTTTAATGTTTTGCTTGACTACAGATTGATAAATTCTTGTTTTTGAAATCTGAACTTCTTAGATGAATGAAGCCTCTGGGCTGTTATTCTCCTTACAGTATTCCCATTTTGTTTTTTGTTTGTTTTTTTTTTTTTCAAATGTGACTGTTTTATTTTATTTATTTATTTTTTCAGTATTCCCATTTTGTTCTTTACCATTCTGATGTTTCAGGGGATCTCAGATATCCCTGGTAATGAATATAAGTTCCTAGACAAAATGACTTAAAGGTAAGGGTCAGTCATGTCAAATCTATTTCTTCTTTTAAGACCTTTCTTACCTTCAACTAGAGGTATGCCTTCACCTGGACCTGAGCTCCAAAATTTTCCCCATTTATTTTTTCCTTCGTTTTCTGTTTGTATAGATCATTTTATGGCCTGTTTCTGATTCAAGAGAATTATTGTGGGAGCTTTTTTTAATTGACTGAAGTGATCTCTGCCTGTTGGTATTCACAACCTTGTGTAACTAATACCTTCCTCTCAGAGATAAATTAGAATTATACCTCTTATTTAAATTAGGTATTACTGTGTTTCCAAAGTTGGTAACTAACAATGATCGTTGTATCTGCAGAATGTTTTCTCCATTGTGAGTAGCCCTGGAGATCAGGCTTGGTCTTAAGCATGTTGAGTGAATGAGTGGCTGTTGAGCTATATCCAATCCAGTTCTAGTCCTGTGATAAAAAAATTACTCTTCAACCTTGCCACTATCCAGTCCTGCTTAAACATTGTAGACTCAGCAGAAAAAAAATGGGATGTTACAGCCCAACAACTTTCTCCTGGAGGCAGACATCCCAATGCAATAACAAAAGAAATATTTTTTAAAACCAAGGTAATATGACTTTTCCAAAAGCCAATAATTCCACAACAATGGATTCTAATGGTAGGAAAGTCTATGCAATCCCAAAGAAGTACAAAAATGATTATGAGTGACTAATAAAATTTTAAAAAGAACACAAATTAATACCTGATTGAATTAAAGAAGAATAAACAGCTGAATGAAAAAAGAATATAGGATATGAACTTGGAACAAAAGAAATAGCTAGAAATCCTGATGAAATGAGGCTTATCAAATGAACTCTAAGAAATGGAAACAAGAGCTTTTTTTATTTAAAAAATAAAAAGTCAAAATGAAAATTTAGAAAATAAAAGCTCAATGAATCAAATAAAAACCCCAGTGGAAACTTTTCCTGGGAAACTTGATAAAGTAGAAGACAATGTATCAGGGCTTAAGAAGAAAATGGTCAAACTAGCAACATTCAGAAAACAATAAAGAAAATCAAACTAAAAGAGTATAAAGAGAATGTAAAAGACTTATGGTATAGCATTGACTAAATAAATATAGAAATAAACAGAAAAGACAAAAGAGAAGTAGAAGGGAAAGGCAAAAACATATATTAAGCAAAATAAAAGCACATACTTTACTTTTTCACTTCAGGCTGGCACTCTACCACTGGAGCCATATATATACTTCCAGCTTTTCTGATAATTAACTAGAGATATGAGTCAGATTTCTCTGCCTAGGCTGACTTCAAACCTTAATCTTCAAATCTCAACCTCCTGAGTAGCTAGGATTACAGGCATGAGCCACCAACACCCAAACCTCAGTTTAGTTTTATTCCTTGAATGCACTGATGGTTCAGCATATACAAACAGATAAATGTAATATAGCATATAAACAGAACTAAGGACAAGTATCAATATAAGCAAAACTTCCTTTTAAAATACAATATCCTCTCATGATAAATTTTCCAAAGGGACTAAGAATGTAGAGTTCATACCTCAACATAATAAAGGTATATATGACAACCCTATAGTCAATATTATACTGAATGGTGAAAAAGTAGTGAAAATGCTTTCCTTTAAAACCAAGAATGAAATAAGATTGTTCACTTTCACCATTCTTGTTTTTTAATTTTTATTTATTTATTTTTTGCTGGTCCTGGGGCTTGAACTCATGGACTGGCCAGTGTCCCTAAGCTTCATTGCACTCAAGGCTAGTGTTCTACCACTCCAGCCACAGTGCTACTTCTGACATTTTCTGAGTCATTTATTGGAGATAAGAGTTTCATGGACTTTCCTACCCCAGCTGGCTTCAAACTGCGATCCTCAGATCTCAGCCACCTGAGTAGCTAGGATTACAGGTATAAGCCTCTAGTGCCCAGTGTCACCACTCTTATTTAACCTAGTGCATGAATTCTTGGCCAGAGCAATAAAACAAAAGAAAAAAATAAAAGAATACAAATGAGAAAGGAAGAATGCAAACTATCCATGTTTTCAGATTATATGATCCTAAATACTACACTTGAAGACTCTTAGATCTGATAAACATTTTCAGTAAGGTAGAAGGATACACAATAAATAACATACAAAAGTAGTATATTTTCTATACAGTAATATCACATTCATTGAAAATTAAGTCAAATAGACACACATGCACATGCACACACACACACACACATTCCTAGGCAGAAGCATAACCAAATATATTAAAGACCTGTACAATGGAAGTTGTAAAGAACTGAAGAAATATTAGAAGACATTAGTCCAATGTTCATGAACCAGTATAATAAACATTGTTAGAGTGCACATACACTACCAAACTTAATATATAAATTCAATGAAAGCCCATCAAAATTCTAATGACATCTTTCAAAAAATAGAAAAAAGTCCTAAAATTTACATAGAAATACAGATGATCCTAAATAATCAAAGCAATACTGAGCAAAACAGTAACACTAGACTTAGCGCAAACATATTTCTAACTATACTACAGAGGCATAGTAATAAAAAGAATATCATAAAGACAGACAAATGGGATAAAATATAAATTCCAAAATAGCGTAAGTAGGTATTGCTATCTCATTCTTGACAAAATACCAAAATATGCCTTAGAAAAAGTACAGGGAAAATGGAATCTTCACATATAAAGGCTGACAGGAGGTCTCTATTTCAACCTCTACAAAAAAATCAACTCAGAATGGATTAATGACCTCAATTGAAGACCTAAAATTTTGAAAGTAGAGGGAAAATACAGGTCTAGTACTTCAAATATAAACATAGGCAATGGCTTTTTAAAGGACTACAACAGCCCAGGAAATAATAACAAGAATAGATAGATGAGACTGAAATTGAAAAGCTTCTGTATAGCAATAGAAAGAATCAACAGAGTGAAGAGGTCAACAGAATGGAAGAAAATTTGCCAAATAACCCTCTTACTTATTTATATACAGAACATGTAAAGGACTCAAAAATTAAACACCTAAGGAATAAACTAGCCAATACACAAATGTACAAGTTAAGTCAATCTACATTTTTCAAACAATGAAGTACAAATGGCCAATAAGTACATCAAAATATGTTTGCCAGATTTATAAAATGATTTCTTTGTTGCTTTGTATATACCTCCCCTACGGTATAACCTCTGCTTTCACTGTATTTGATATTAGTATAATTTGGGGAGAGGAAGGGAAAAAACAAATTGTTTAAATAGGGATACAGGTGGACCCATTGCAACAATGAGATGTATAAGTCGTTATGTCGAAAAATGAACTTTACAACTTGCGGGGGAGGGAGGATGGGAAGGGATGGGAAGGAGAAACAAAGGAGGAAGCAACAATGCTTGATAAGAGATGTACTCATTACCTTGCTCATGTAATTGTAACCCCTCTGTATGGTATTTTCACAACAAAAAAAATAAATAAATTTAAAAAAATGTTCCCCGGGCACCGGTGGCCCACACCTATAATCCTAGCTACTCAGGAGGCTGAGATCTGAGGATCGCGGTTCAAAGCCAGCCCGGGCAGGAAAGACCCTGAGACTCTTATCTTCAATAAACCACTAGAAAACCAGAAGTGGCGCTGTGGCTCAAGCAGTAGAGCGCTAGCCTTGAACTGAAGAGTGCAGGGACAGGGCCCAAGCCCAGAGTTCAAGCCACAAGACCGACAAAAAAAAAAAGAAAATTAGTCTATAAAAAAAAAAATGTTCAACATCCTTAGTCATGAGAAAAATGAAAATCAGAACTGCATTGAGATTTCACCTAACCCCAGCAACTACAAACGCAAGTAAGAATGTGAGTGTAGGAGAATGAGCTTTATTCACTGATGGTGGAATATAAATCAGTGTATATGTGATGGAAATATTCATCGAGTTTCTTTAAAAAAAAAAAAGAATTCCCATATTAGCCAATTACACCACTTCTGTGTACATATTCAAGATAATCAAAGTCATATTACTATAGATATATAGTATGTCCTTGTTTATTGGGATAATACCTTCAATTATCTATTCTATCAGCTTAGGTGGCCTGCAATGGAGAGGAAGAAATAATGAAATTGCGATACAGACACAATGAAGATTTTACGTAGCCATTAAGAAGAATGAAATTACCATTTAATGAAAAATGGATGGAAATGCAGATCGTGTTAAGAGAAATCAGCCACTCTTATGAAAACTGATATCACATTTTCTTTCATTTTTGTAGCTTAAGGGGAAAAACAAAAACAAAACAAGATTATGAAAATAGAGGAGTCCTCTAAAAAAGTAAAAGGAAAGGAAAAAGGGAAAGATGAGAGAGGGAGTAATGGAGGAGTGACAATAAAATTAATAAGCCAAATGTGCATGGATTATTAGATTAACTATTTTTTGATATATTTGATAAATATACTTAATTTAAAAGCATTTTAAAACATGAGGAAAAGGTTTTTTCCTTTAATAAAAAAATTTAAGTGAAAGACACTCCAGAGGATTTAGGGAACTCTAGGGTAGGAATTTTCCTTTAAAAAGAATGTTTTATACATAAAATTCATGTTGTACACTCTTAATGATGAAGAAAAATAAGTGGAATCTTTTCTAAAAATGTTACTTGTAACTATCACCAAGTGTCTCACCTATTTTCTTCTAGTACTTTCAGATTTTCATGTCTTAAGGTTTTGATACATTTTGAGTATATTTTTCTACAGAGTTGAGAGTCTGGGATCAAGTTTCAGTTTTTTGCATATGTATACCTAGGGTTCTAAATATCGTGTGTTGAAGAGGGCTCTCCTTTCTCCATTGTGTTTTTGTCACCTTTTTCAAAAAGCATGTTTTTTACACATGTGCAGGCTGATTTCTGAGTTCTCTGTTCTATTCCATTTGTCAGTATATTTGTTTTTGTGCCAATATCATGCATATTGTTTACTATGGCTCTGTAGTATGTTTAGAACTCAGTCATGATGCTTCCAGATTTTTTTCTTTTTCTATAGGACTACTTTGGCAATTTAGGCTGTTTTGTGCTACCATGCAAACTTTAGGAGTTTTTTGGCTAGTACTACAAAGAGTGTCTTTGTTTTTTTTGATAGGTATTTCATTCAATTTGTAGCTTGGTAGGATAGTATGAATTTTACTGATCCATGAACATGAAAACTTTTTCAATTTGTTAATGTCTTCTTTGATTTTTTTTTCTGTGTTTTGTAACCTTTTGTTGTTGTTGGTCGTGGCGCCTGAACTCTGGGCCTGGGTGCTGACCCTCAGGTCTTCAGCTCAAGGCTAGTGCTCTACCACTTGAGCCACAGCGCCACTTCCGGCTTTTTCTGCTTATGTGGTGCTGAGGAATAGAACCCAGGGCCTCATGCATGAGAGGCAAGCACTCTACCACTGAGCCACCTTCCTAGCCCTGTGTTTTGTAATTTGCATTGTAGAAGACTATCACTTCCTTAGATGGGCTTATTATTAGGTATCATTTTTGCATATTTTCTTTGGAGATAGTGTCCCTGGTTGGTCTAGAACTCATGAACTCAAACGATCTTCCTACCCCAGCCTGCTGAGTAACTGGATATAACAGTCACGTTCTGCTGTTCCAAGATGTTCAGTAAATATTTTTGTTAAGGTCTCTAATCACATGTATCCTCTAAAAGTGTTATCATTTAATTTTTGTCAGTCATAGGGCTTGAACTCAGGGCCTGTGAACTGTCCATGAGCATTTTTGCTCATAGCTACCTCTCTACCACTCTGAGCCACAGACCCACTTCCAGTTTTCAGGTGGTTAACTGGAGATAAGAATCTCATGAACTTTCCTGCCAGGGATGGCTTAGAACCATAATCCTCAGATGTCAGCCTCCTGAATAGCTAGGATTATAGGCATGAGCCACCAGCACCTAAGTGTTATTTTCTTCTCTGTCCTATTTAACTTATCTAATCATATTAATTTGCTTATCTTACTCTCCCACAGACTAAAATATTAGCTCCCTCAGGTATGAATATAAGCAAGATCCACCTTCGTAATTCTCTAACTGTTTTAGTGTATAACATGAAAAATCACAGTGAAAAAGAGAATGAAGGAAGTAATACATACCTGCTGAACATTGGCTTGAAGGAGATCTCCAAGCCGCTTGACCAGATCAGAGAAGTTAGGCCTCAAAGTGCATTCACTGTGCCAGCAGTCAAGCATAGTCTGGTAGCTATAGGTTGGAAAAATACAAAGCTAGTATACTTCTCACTGGTTCCCTAACTTTTCTTTTTCTTTTCAATATTGATGATTGCATTTAGAACCTTGTGTTGGCTAGGCAAGTGCTCTACCATGTGAGCCATATACCTTGTCCTTTTTGATTTAGTTTATTTCTCAGAGATAGCCTTGTGCTTTTCCCCAAGCCAGCCTGAAACTGCATATTTCTACCTTTACCTCCTATGTAGCTATTCTTTTAGCCCAGACACATCTCTAACCACAATTCCCTCATCTGTACCTCCAGCATAGCTAGGATTATAGGCAAACGTTAGCACATGAATCCTCAAACTTCATATGGATGATACCTCAGGTCACGCTTCACGATGAATCTAAGTTACATTCTCTGTTTGTGGTCTTATAGTCAAGTTTCTGAAAAGTCTTTGTGGTCCATTCCCACTAATTACCAACATCCTCATCATTCACAGTTGCTTCAGCTTCATATTCTTAAATGTAAGTCATACTCAAGCTACTTGTAACCTCAGATGTTCATAAAACCCTGATGCAATGAGACCAAGCAATTAATTCTGTCACCTAACACTTTGAAAGTACAAAAATGGTGTAAACAGTGAAACTGTTGCTTTGGATACTCTTGGGCTTTTGAGGTCTTTCTATGACCTAGAAGCTCACAGAATTTGGTCTACAAATAAATACCATTACACATCCTTGAGGAAATAGCGTCAAATTCCACTCTTTTAAGATACTTTAGTACCAACATTGGAATAAAAGTTGCTATTTTCCTATCGTTTTTTTGTTGTTGTTGGTTATGGGGCTTGAACTCTGGGCTTGGGCATTGTTCCTGCACTCTTCAGCTCTAGGCTATTGCTCTACCACTTGAGCTACAGTGCCACTTTTGGTTTTCTGTTGTTGATTGAAGATAAGAGTCTCAGGGACATTCCTGCCCAGGCTGGCTTTGAACTGTGATCCTCAGATCTCAGCCTCCTCAGTAGCTAGGATTATAGGCATGTGCCACCAGCACTGGGCAATAATTGGTATTTTCTAAAAGTTATGACTAGTAAACCATCAACCAACTTGTAGATGCCAATTCATGTTCAAATTACTATCCAACAAACTAATTGAAAATCTTTTATTTGCACATTTTGGTGTGGTGATGGCACTTCCAATCTCTTTTTAGTACCTCCTCACATCATGCAAATTTATTCATTAAACAAAATCAGAGATTCCAAGAACTTAGCACCAGATTGGCACAATACAGGCTATTTACTCAGTAGCCTGTGACTTAAAAGGCCCTTGACAGTGCCCTGGTTACATGTAATATTTAGAGAAATAGTCTTTGTGAACATACCTATGAAATATTAATCTTCCATTTAGTAGGCTATTTTAAAATTATGATGATATGCTTTAAGGAAGCAAAAGAAATACATTAATGTATTTGTGGTCTACAATCTGTGATGCTTACTTTGTTCCTTTCATCCCAAATTACTTTACTCTGGTAACCCCTGACTTGAAGGAAAACTTACATTTCAGCAGTGGAATACTCAGGTGATCTCATTCTTGTTCCCTGCTTAAGCTGATGGCAGAAGTCCTCATCTATTTGAACTCCTGGATATGGTGAAGCCCCTGACATGCAATAAAAAAACAAATTTACTTCTGTGGGATAAACAACCTATTAAAACCTTATGAATAGTGACCTCCTAAGAGGAATCAGAGGATGAGCAAACAAATCCAATGTTACATAGAGAAAGATGGGGAAACTTTTTTTCTGCTGAGGTCCATTTGGGTATACAAAATTATCAATATAAGTAGGTGGACTGTAGGCAGGCTACAAGAAACATGTGTCTGTCCTACCAGGTAAATAATTTCCCAGGCCCTATATGAGGAACTGCAACTTCACTACTCCTGAATAGGACAAGATTTCCATCCAATTTGCCAGTTCTGGCTGATATCTCACAGTTCAGAACCCTGACCAAAAAAAAAAAAAACCATGTCCAAATTGCATTGATATGGCTGATAAGAAATTTCAGTTACTACTAGTGAGCTTCCATTGCTATAGTCTTTTGTTTAATACAAACATTTCTTTTTTTTTTTTTGGTCCGGTGGTGGGGCTTGAACTCTGGGCCTGGGTGCTGTCCCTCAGCTCTTCAGCTCAAGACGAGCGCTCTACCACTTGAGCTACAGCGCCACTTCCGGTTTTCTGGTGGTTTATTGGAGATAGGAGTCTCACGGTCTTTCCTGCCCGGGCTGGCTTTGAACCGCGATCCTCAGATCTCAGCCTCCTGAGTAGCTAGGATTACAGGCGTGAGCCACCAGCGCCCAACTTAATACAAACATTTCTATTATTCAAGTCTCCAAAGATCCTTGTTTATATAAAGTTTTTATATAAGGCTTTTATCAAACATCAAGTTCCTGTGACTAAGGCCTCAAGAACAACCAGAAAATAGAATTCAAGTCAGTGGTGAGATCTTCCTCCATTTGGGAGAATGTAGTATTGATAACATGGAAACTAAAAGACAAATGAAGCCTAAGAGTGAGTCTGAAATTGAGGAAATAAAATTTTTTTACAAGATGTTTTATAGGTGATTAATGAAAGTACATTATCAAAGTATGAGTATGTTGAACATTTCCTTAAGTTGGGGCATGGATAAGCTAGTATAACAAAAAGTACATGACTCATCTGATTGATTTTATTCAGTAAATCTTGAAACTAAAAACATTTTTCTAGATCTTTGAGATTCAAGATGGTTTCAATAGTGCCAAAGCTTCATTTAAACAAAGATTTGGTTTTCCCATAGAAATAGTGTAAATAATTTATATGCCACCTAAATTTCCAAAGGTATTTCTACTAGCTAACGTTGAAAAATATAAATTATGTTAGAGAGAAAAAAGGCAAATAAAGATAAAATCAGGAGCAACACTAATTACACATCACAGAGACGATCAAATCAAATGAACCTGATGATTTTACCTTTCTAGATTTCTGAAAGTCAGACAAACAGTAGAAACCCATTCAGCTAACTAATTCGAGGTTATAGAATGAGATCTGCATATCCTTGGGATTGTCAGTACTTGAAGCCTGAATAACTCCTATGGAATAAAAATTATTTTCTAAAGCCTGAAAACTGATGTAATTTATATAATACAGGTTCTTTTCAAATTTCCTGAATTCAAAATAATTTTTAGTCATGGGTCTTTCTTCAACCAAGATATGCAGAAGGTGTAATCTTAAGTGTTTTGGTATTAAAAAATTGTAAAGTTCCTTTCCATAGTTACAGTCTTTAAGTAGTGAGATTAGAATAGTATATAAGGTTTCCTGAGTAAACTTGTTGGAATCTGTGAAACCTACGAAGGCAGAATACCCAGTTTCCTATTTGCCCTGTGGAAAAGGTTATGAGTCTCTGCAAGAGGTATAGGTAGCATTATCTTTCATATGTACATTGTCTCAATCCAAAGAGCAATAAGACTTCCTTTGTATAGGAACATACTACATATTCAGGTTAACTGTAGACAGCTGTATGTCTTTGATCTAAATGTTAATCACAGACTTTTCCCCCAAAGATCTATATCCTAGATTATAATGTTGGTTAGGGATAAAAAAAAAAAACTTTAAAAAAATGCCTGGACACCAGTGATTCACGCTTATAATCCTAGCTCTTCAGGAGGTTGAGATCTGAGGGTCATAGGTTTGAAGCCAGCTCAGGCCGAAAAATCTTTAAGACACTTACCTATTAACCTACAAAAAGCCAGAAGTGGAAATGTGGCTCAAATGATAAGTGTCAGCCTTGAAAAAGTTCGGGGATACTACTCAGACCCTGAGTTCAATCCCTAGGAAGACCAGCACAAAAATAGCTTAAAAATCTATTCAGAAGCTAACCACCCTGTACTTTGTTGTGCCTATTGCTTTGTCTCCTAGAGCTCTCTACCCCTTATTTTTCCTATAATCCACACCACACACAAACTTTATTTTATCTTTTTTTTTGGCACACACAAACTTTATTTTATCTTTTTTTTTTTTGGCACTTGTGGGGCTTGAACTCTGGGCCTGGGCGCTGTCCCTGAGCTCTTCAGCTCAAGGTGAGCGCTCTACCACTTGAGCTACAGCGCCACTTCCGGTTTTCTAGTGGTTTATTGGAGATAAGAGTCTCACGGTTTCTCCTGCCCATGCTGGCTTTGAACCGGGATCCTCAGATCTCAGACTCCTGAGTAGCTAGGATTACAGGCGTGAGCCACCGTCGCCTGGCTATTTTATCTTTCAAGGTCTAAATTTTACTTGCTTATTCGTTACAGGGAGTTCCTAGACATCTTTTTTCCCACAGAAGTAGAAATTCATCTCATTTTTCTGTGGTTTTGTTTGTATTTAGTCCAGACTTTCATTATAGGGCTTGTCAACTACAGTTTGGCATGCATTAGGATTAACTAGGTGCTAATCTCTTCTCAAAATACTTGTTAGTCAAGGAGATTAAGGGGAGTGTCATCTAGTAAGTGTCTTCAATGCTAAAGACACCCAACAAATATTTGTAGAATTGGAAATACAATGTGATATACTTCTTACCAATTCCACTTGCACTTACTTCTTCTTTATTCCACTTTAAAAAACAGTAAGTGACATGATTTAAGAGGGTTAAACAAATAGAAACCATGGTTGTGTGTGTGCATGTGCATGTACATGCATGCATGGGCCAGTTCTAGAGCTGGTTTGGGGAAAGTGCATGCTATGTTACTTTGACTTTTTTGTGTGTGCTGGTCCTAGGGCTTGAACTCAGGACCTGAGCTCTGTTCCTTAGCTTTTTTGCTTAATACTGGCACTATACCAGTTGAACCACACCTCCATTTATGGTTTGTTGCAGGTTAATTGGAGCTAAGAGGCTCTCCCACTTTTCTGCCTGGGTTGCTTTTGAAGTTTGATCTTCAGATCTCAGCCTCCTGAGTAGCTAAGATTATGGGTGTGAGCCACAGGCACCAAGCACCTTGACATTTTATGAATCTTTTTGCCATGCATTGTTGTCTATGTATTTAACACATAAGTCATTTTTCCACACTGTATAGGATAATTTCATTGGGAAACACTTTCCCTTGCTAGTGAATAGGAGGGCTCTTGTTGCAAGGATCAAAGTAGTTATGCTTCCAGGTTACTCTTCATGAATTTTTACTAGCAGAGGTCAACTTGGCAGAGTCTACATATTTTTAACAGCCAAAGATGTTTACAAAAAATAGTAAATTGTACAAGCTGCCAGAGTACTCCCCCTGGTTTCTTTCTCTCACTAAGGCTATTGTGACTGAGGTCTTTCTCTTGTGCCATGTCTGGTTGGAAGGTATGCCACTGAAACAGAGGCATTAGGCATAGAGCAGGGTCTGGAATAAAAATATGTACATATAGAAGGAAGGACCATGACTAGAGGGTATAAGGCAAGTTGCCAAGGTTCATGAGTGCCTGCTACTATGTGGGTAATGGTATGTGTGTCAGAACAGTTGAATAGCTAAAATGCAGAATTTTGACACATCCAGATACATAATAGTTTTTGGGCCTAGTGGACCTAGCCTATGGAATATGAGCACACAGAAAGAGAAACCTTGGTTCCAAGACCCATGGTACAGACTGGCCTGTTGTATGAAGCATGAGAAGACACATGGTGCAACCATAAAGCCAGGTTCTGAAATGGACACAAAAAAGATAATGAGTGAAGTAATACAGGCTTGGAGAGATAAAAGTGTTTTCTCTCATATGTGGAAATTAGACCTAAAACATATAAACAAAAAAGAACATGGGCACTGGTGGATCATGCCTGTAATCCTAGCTATTCATGGTTTTGAAGCTAGCCTAGGCAGGCAAATCCATGAGACTCTTACATCCAATAAATTATTCAAAAAGGCTGGAAGTAGAGCTCTGGCTCAAGTGGTAGAAAGGCAGCCTTGAGCAAAAAAAGCTTAGGGGACTATCCAGGCCTTGAGTTCAAGCCCCAGTACCAGGAAAAAAAACAGAGCTACATATATACATCCAAGATCAAACTGACTAAAGGAGAGTGTAGGAGCTTAAGGACAGTACCCAAGCACAGAGTTCAAGCCCCATGACTGGCAAAGAAAAGGTACATTAATTTTTTATTTGTACATTCACTTTGGAAATGAACTATTTCACTATGGTTGTGGTTCAAGTGTTTAGAGAAAGGACCCACAAGTCAGTTATTGAGAGTCCAGGGACTGAGGCAAGGCTACCTGAAGCAGTAGTGGCTTTCATGTTTTAAGCATGGGAGTACACAGTTTTGTCAGAGCCACAATCTTGAACATGGGGATGCACAGAGTGGCCAAGTCCATAGAATCTAAGCTGCATTTGCTGTTGGAAGAGGTGGCACTCCCTGTACCAGAGTGGTATAACAGTGGATTATTCTGAAGCTCTAGCAGCCTCTCCTTTTCTGTGAGAATTGTGCAAAGGTAACTGTTGGTTAGCTTACAATGAAAGATATCATAGTCCTAGCCAGGCATTGGTGGTTCACTCCTGTAATCCTACATACTCTGGAGGCTAAGATCTGGAGGATCTCTTGTTTGAAGCCAGCCTGGGCAAGAAAGTCTACAAGACTCACTCTCCAAAATAACTAGCAAAAAAGCCAGGCTGGAGGCATGGCTCAAAT